ACTCAGGAGAGTCTTCTCCAAGCAGGGCGATCGTGGCTCAAGAGTTGGGAGTTCGCCTTGTAATCGGAAGGTTGCCGGTTCGAGCCCCGGCTTGGACAGTCTCGGTCGTTGTGTCCTTGGGCAAGACACTTCACCCGTTGCCTACTGGTGGTGGTCAGAGGGCCCGGTGGCGCCAGTGTCCGGCAGCCTCGCCTCTGTCAGTGCTCCCCAGGGTGGCTGTGGCTACAATGTAGCTGCCATCACCAGTGTGTGAATGTGTGGGTGGATGACTGGATATGTAAAGCGCTTTGGGGTCCTTAGGGACTAGTAAAGCGCTATATAAATACAGGCCATTTACCATTTACCATAATTCCCAGTGTACTTCAGACCCAGCCAAAAATTTAGACAAAAACTGGTTCATCTCAAACACAAACTCCCAAACACAAAACTTAGTAACATAGTGTGTGTTATGCAATGCAGCGAGGAATGCTCAGACCTCTACATTGGAAAAACCAAACAGCCGCTTTATAAACACATAGCACAACATAGAAGAGCCACCTCAATGGGACAAGACACAGCTGTTCATCTGTATATAGAGGTCAAAGGTCACTCTTTCGAGGATGCCAATGTTCATTTTGGACAGAGAAGACAGATGTTTTGAAAGAGGACTGAAAGTCCACTGTGAACAACCATCTTTGAACAGAGGCGGTGCTTTATGACACCAAATGTCTGCCATCTATAATCCAGTTCTGAGATCTCATCCTAGACACCTTACACCCACTCACATCCTGGGCCATCTGACCACAGGAAATCACATGATAGGGTGGGGTTTGGACCCGTATGAAATACGGCCGTGGAGTAGAAACCCTGAAGACCTACCGCTATTGATGTAGCCTGACATATTTTCGTACCTTGTCTGTGGAGTCACCGCTTACAAGTCGTCATTCAAACAAAGGTGAGTCAGCTTGAGTACTGCGTTTGATTTTCCCCCGAACATTCAAATTAGTGCAGCATAAATTCATTCACGAGGGGGAAATTACAGTGAGAACATGTGGAGGTTCTGTTAGAGGGATAACATAGTGAGTTCAGTGCATTGATGTGACATTGTCCTGAAGGATTTAGTTATTCTTTATGGTTAAAGAAATTGAAATAATTTATTGTTATAAAAAATTCTAATTATACATATTGCTTCCATGTTTGTGTCCTGTGTCACTAAAATACATTTTATTTTAGTTTTATACATTGATTAATGACCTGCAGAATCTCCTTATCATATTAAGTGATTCATAATTGTCACTTTATGCTTTCTCCATCTTGAAAGTGATGACATCCTTGCATTACATACTTTAGGTTAATTTTCTGCAGGCAGGTTTCTGAAAGAGAACAGGCAGATTTAGAATTTAACATGCATTCCGTCCCCTTAATGTAGATGGGTGGATGTAGGTCAGCATTCCTCCTGTAGTCCACGATGAGCTCCTTGGTCTTCTCAGTGTTAAGCAGTAGGTTGTTTGTGTCGCACCACTCAGCCAGACGATCCACCTCCTCCCTCATCGTTGTCCTTGATGAGGCCAATCACCGTGGTGTCATCTGCAAACTTAATGATGATGCTAAAACCACTGGTAGGTCTGCAGTGGTGAGTGAAGAGGGAGTAGAGGAAAGGGCTCATCTTACAGACTACCTCAACTTTTGTGTGGACACAGTCGCCCCTGCTAAGACGGTACGGTGTTATCCTAATAACAACGTGGGTAACACAGGAAGTCAAGCTGTCCTCAACATGAAGAAGAAGGCTTTCAGGAGCAAAGTGAAGGAGGAGATGAAGGCAGCACAGCGGGAGGTGAAACGCTGCCTGAGGGAAGCAAAGGACACCTACAGGAGGAAGGTGGAGCAGAAGTTGGAGAGGAACAATATGAGGGAGGTCTGGAATGGTGTGAAAACCATCACAGGCCACAACACCAAGAAAAGCACAGTGGGGGGACTGTGGAGAAGGCAAACGAACTCAACAACTTCTTCAACAGGTTTGACCAGCCACAACCCCCCACCCTCACCTTCACTACAGAGTCCAATCCCACTCTCCTACCTCCCTCGCTTCCCCCCCTTCCTGACACCATGACACCCCCCTCCTCCAATCCCTCTCTCAGCAGCAAGACATCTCCCCCCCTCCCCTCTTCCCAAACATCTCCCAGTGTCACAGTGGATCAGGTCAGGAGACAACTGAGGAAGCTTCGCCCCAGAAAGGCAGCAGGCCCAGACAAGGTGTGTCCTAGGATGCTAAAGGCGTGTGCTGCTGAACTTGGGGAGCCGCTACAACGAGTCTTCAACCTCAGTCTGCGACTGGGGAGAGTGCCCGCCCTATGGAAGACATCCTGCATCGTCCCGGTCCCCAAAAAGAACCGGCCCAATGAGCTGAATGACTTCCGACCGGTGGCACTGACGTCACATCTTATGAAGACTCTAGAGCGGCTCTTCCTCAACCTCCTCCGACCACAGGTACAACATGCCCAGGACCCACTACAGTTTGCATACAAGGCAGGTGTCGGAGTGGAGGATGCCATCCTGTACCTCCTACACAGAGCCCACTCACACCTGGATGGGGGAAAAGGCACGGTCAGGATCCTGTTTCTTGACTTTTCCAGTGCCTTTAATACCATCCGGCCCTGTATGCTTCAGGAAAAACTGAACAGGATGGAGGTGGACCCCTGCCTGGTGGCTTGGATCTCCGACTACCTCACCGACAGACCACAGTACGTCAGGCTGAAGGACATCACGTCTGACACAGTGGTCAGCAGCACAGGAGCACCACAGGGAACTGTGCTGTCCCCTCTTCTCTTCACCCTGTACACCTCTGACTTCTGCTACAACTCTGAATTATGCCACATTCAGAAGTTTGCAGACGACACAGCCATCATGGGGTGTATCTGGGATGATCAGGAAGAGGAGTACAGAAGTCTGGTGAGGAACTTTGTCGCATGGAGTCACACAAACCACCTGCAACTCAACACCTCAAAGACTAAGGAACTGGTTGTGGACTTCGGGAGGTCTAGAGCAGGTCCACTGCCGGTTCAGATAGAGGGGGAGGAGGTGGAGGTGGTCAACAAGTACAAGTACCTCGGGCTGTGGGTGGACAATAAACTGGACTGGTCATGCAACACAGAGCACCTGTATAAAAAAGCCCAAAGCCGACTGTACTTCCTCAGGAGGCTGAGGTCTTTTAACATCTGCAGGAAGCTCCTGAGGATGTTTTACCAGTCGGTGGTTGCTGGAGTACTTTTCTATGCTGTGGTGTGCTGGGGGAGCAGCACAGCAAAGAAGGACTCATCCAGGCTGGAGAAACTGATCAGGAGGGCTAGCTCTGTGGTCGGCATGAAGCTGGACACTCTGGTGACAGTGGCAGAGAAAAGGACATTAAAGAAACTGATGGACATTATGGACAATGCCAGGCATCCTCTGCACACGGCCATTAACAGCCAGAAGAGTCTGTTCAGTGACAGGTTGCTTCTCCCAAAGACAAGAACTAACAGACTTAAAAACTCCTTTGTCCCACACGCCATCAGACTGTTTAACTCCTCTCTGGAGGGGAGAGGGAGGGGAAACAGGAGGACAAAGGAGGGGGGAACAACTAAGCTGTAGTGCCTCTTCACCTCACTGTACAATACCTTGTGCATACTTTGTAAATAGTCAACAGTGCAATAGACTCAATACTTGAAATGTGCAATTCACTTGTATTTTTATTTTTTATTCCTATTTATTCTATTTATCCCCTTCGTATATTTTATTTATATTGTCTCTGTATTTATATATATGTGTGTGTGTATAACTCTGTAACTTCTGTCGGTGCTGTGCTTTTTTGGAAATCGAATTCCCCAGAGGAACCCACCCGGGGGATTAATAAAGTTCTATCTTATCTTATCTTATCTTATCACACAGCCTTGTGGTGTTCATTGTGATTGTAGATGAGCAGCAGTTATCCAGCTGGATATGTTGGGGGCAGTTGGTCAGGAAGTCCAGTAACCATTTGCAGATGAGGGAACTGATGCCCAGGTCTGTCAGTTTCCTGATGAGTTGTGAGGGGAGGATTGTATTGAATGCTGAACTGAAGTCTATAAACAGCATTCTGGCGTAGGTGTTGTTGTTGTCCAGGTGTGATAGGACAGAGTGCAGTGCGATGGAGACTGCATCCTCTGAGTTCCTGTTCTGACAGTATGCAAATTGGTGGGGGTCCACGGTGGGGTGGGAGACAGGATTTGAAGTGTGCTAGGACTAGCAGCACTTTGTGATGATGGGGGTGAGGGCTACTGGGCGGTAGTCATATAGACACTTATTCCAGTGTTTATAAAAGCTTGACATATATCTTGTGTCACCATGTGTTATAACTTTCAAAGCTGTTACTGTTAAATATCTTGACTCACTCAAACAGCACATCAGTGAGTGAGTTTTTCTTCAGCCACCCTTTTCATTCACTACGTGTTTATACACGTCTCTGCATTTAATCATTAGTTATTATGCTCATAGGGTGTCATATGATTGTTGGGCTTTTCTCTGTTTACTGTATTATTGTAGGAGCTTTATTTCTTGGCATCTGGTTACCGTAGGCTGAGTTTAATGTCCGGACAATTTTAGAGTAAGTGATGCTTTTAGAGACCTGAATGTGGTTAAACCAACTCCCTATCATCAACTACACCAATGACCTGAGGCAGAAACACCGATGTGTACAGAAAGAGTATAGTTTAAACTTGGACTATATTTTGATAAAAGCTATTTACTTTAGCCACTTACATAACACTCATATTTAAATTTCAGCCTGTTAAAGAAGGTTCTGTCTTTATAGCTGCAGTTGGAAATGTTAATTTTACATGTTCAATAGTTCAAAACATCAGGCAGCAATATGTCTGCATTCATAAACACAGATTCTAGTGAAATGTGAATGTATGCAACTCACAATGTGTGCAAATAGAGGTTCAAATATACATGATTTTATTGAAAGGATTCATATATTTTATTTTATATATGTGATAAGAAGATATAGGAAAGATATTTCAAATATCACATGAAATAGGATATAAGTATACAGCAAAACACAACAGTGATGGTGTAATCTGCATGACAGTATCAAAATTACTCAGGCTACTGAAACCAATGGCAGTTGGTTCACACACAAAATGAATGAAGATGCATCATATCAGCATTTATAACTTTCACTCCCAGAAGTGCCCTATTTTACACTGGATGTAGAGTCTGTTATAATCACAAAGCATCAAACATAACATTTAAATAGTGCCTTTAAAAATTTCACAAATATCACATTCATTTAAATAATTAAAAAATCAGTCGCTGTAAACAACCTAAAGCAGAAATAATAATATCAGACAAAAATTCCAACAACTCAGTTCCTGAGCTGTTAGTTTTTGTTAAGCTTTCTGTTGGGGGAAGTTGCTTCACTGCTTATCTTAGGGGCAGAGCTTTTACCCTTTCTCAGTGACTTCACAAACCACAGGAAGATGAAGAACCCTGCACAGCATACAGGGGGAGAAACGGTGAAATAGGTTTAGGCTGTGTACAAGAAGTACAAATCATGCAAACGAAACTGATATTCAACTCTTTCAGACATTACTGTTTCATACAGAGTATATAACAGTAATGTCAAAAATCTGCTCCAAGTATAAGGATGTATATTAATATTATGCATCACTCATTCAATCCCAACACTGTAACATTCCCAAACTGGCCTATAAAAAAGTTTACGTTCCTATTATTAACTGTTTATGAGCATAAACAGGTTTCATAAACCTAAAATAAGACCCCAACATATGATTTTGTAAAAAATACCATATATAGCATAAACAGCAGCCAAATGGCTGTTGTTTAATGCATTGTTACCCTGGCGCTGCATATGCATGTTTTTAAAATGCCAGCTTCAGCACTCACAGTGACCGAAGTCGTTAAAGAAGTGAGATAAATGAATAGGAGCAAACTATACTGACCTTGCAGGGAGTTCAGAACACAGAAGAGGTAGAGGGCAACAGTGGTCAGGTAACCAAATGAGAAGAAAACCAGGCCCCAAGTAATCCCGAGCAGAACGCTGACACCCAGCAGGGCGCAAATTGCTTTCCTGACCTGTTTATGGTGAAGCTGCCCAAACTAATTTGTCAAATACACAATGACATATGACACAGCAGGTTATTGACAATCTGAAGCTAACAGAGGCCTTGAATTGTGTATGAACAAAAGCTGTTCTTCAGTGTCTAATTATTGGAAATATCAATGGTTAATGTTCATTTAAAAAAGATTGCAAGAATAACTCATACCTCTTTGTTATACCCAACATTCAAAACACGCTTGACTGTCACCATAAACATGGTCATGTTAAAGAGGAACACCATGGTGAACAGTCCAGTGGTAGTGACCACCTTCACTATTTCATTCGATATATAGCATCTACAAAGAAAGGAAATAGACAGTGATTTCATCTTACCCGTTTATATTTTTGTTGAGTGTATATAGATGACTGAGTGTCTCAGCATTGCTTAATATTTTTTTCCACTTGTTAATTTATAGTTTATTTATTTATATAGCACATTTAATTACAACAGGAGCGTTGAGCAAAGTGCTGTACAAGACAATTTAAAACATTGAAATATATATTGAATTTCTAATACACATCCAAAACAGTTAATAAGTCAACATTAATTATAATTCCTAATTTCATACCCTTTAAAAGGTTTTCCTTACATTTTAGTGTCATCATGGTTTGACTTGTCTAGAAGGACATGGCCATAAAAGCTTCTGTCTATGATCACCACCACTGACACAATCACTGCAGGAACACCTGAAACACAAGAATTGATTAGTCACTCTGAAGTTTGCTGACTAATAACCAGTGATGCGAATAATGGCATCACAAGTAACGGCGTTACTAACGGCGTTACGTTTTTAAGTTACAAGTAATCTAATTACTGATTACTATTTCTATCGTTACAACGCAGTTACGGTTACTAACAAGAAAATGCTGTGCTGTTGCGTTACTATTTTTCAACAAACAGACAGCTGAAGCTGTGTTCAGCTTAATGCACATAAGTAATCTGGGCACTACAGCTTTCAGCAGCTGTGCGCGCTCCGGCGGATGGCAATCACAATCACTTTTTGGCACAACACCTGGAGCTTACATATATTGTAATATATCTATATCATGGCTAAAGCACTTCTGGATGCATGCAAACTGCATTTCGTTGCCCTGTACCTGTGCATGTGCAATGACAATAAAGTTGAATTCTATTCTATTCTATAAGGGGGCAAACTTTCGCATGAGTGCTGCTGTTTGACTAAGGAGGAATAAAGTAATTGTGGTAAGCTAATCATATGACCACTTCAAGATGACAAAGCAACAAGGTGATATATACCAGTTGTGTTGATAGGCCACGTAAAACCAGAGTCATGATAATCAATATATACGCGGCGTTTTTTCCTCAATAGTTTCGTCACGTTTACTGTCTAAGGACAGCGCTAGCAAGCACTCTCTGCTTATGACCAAAAAATAAAACAGAAAACAGTTGGTGAAAAAATGCACCATGTCGACCAATCAAAAATGATATGGCAACATGACATTTGGTTGTTTAGGAAGAGGGGGAAGTTTAAGGAGTGACCACGAGAAAGAGCGAGAGAGAAACAGCAGAAAACGAGAGAGAGCGAGTTTTGAGATGTGAGAGATTTGTGACCTTCAGCATGTTTGGAGTGTGTAGTTAATGTGTTGTCTTGTGTAGTTAGTGTGTAGTGTTGTAGATAGTTTTGTGTTGTGTGTCAGAACAATGAGGCGCCAGGTAAAAAAAGGAGTGATACACCTGCTGCTGTCAGACCTGCAGGTATCAGGCTGTAATGTTCTCCTTTATAGTGGAGAGAAATTATTTTTTGGAGTGGCACAAATAATTTGTGTGGAATCTTATTTAATGCAGAACAGCTGATTGTTATGTCAACAGTTTGAAATGTTTTTTTGGTTTTTTTTTTAAAAAGAGGGTAAAAGGTAAATTGCAGCAGATAACTTTGTTGTTGGCAAAACTTGTGCATAGGATTTTAAAATTGATCATTTATATTTGCATTTAAAGTTCTGAAATATGATTCATTAAACATGTCTGTGGTTGCTGCAGTAAAAAATATAACTTTCTACTCAGATTTTATGTTTTTTTTGTCTGATTTTAGATCAACTGTGTTAATACAGAATGTCAAAATGAAAACACAACTGTAAATTCAGACGTGAGGTTGTGCTGAAAAGAATGATACCAGACAAAGTAAAGTAAATCGTTTTTAAAGGTTAAATGTAGAGGTAAAATCAAAAGTGGTTTAAAATGGCCAATTATACCCTGGACCCCAGAGGGTTAAACCTTTTTTTAAAGTGACTTAATAGTTACTTTTCATGTAATTAATTACTTTTAGGATCTTGTAACTCAGTAACTGAGTCAGTTACATTTTTGAAGAAGTAACTAGTAACTATAATTAATTACTTTTTCAAAGTAACTTGCCCAACACTGCTAATAACCACCGCTTCCTGTTTGAAGGATTCCACTTACCCCATCCCACCACACTGAGTTTGAAAATGTATCTGCTGACAGAAATGTTGAAGATTTTAACTAGGAGAAGGTAGAGGTGGAACCCCTCCAAGGCCATCCAGGTGAAAGTGGCCAACAGGGAGTAGTGAAGGGCAAGAGCCATGTAGAAACAGAGCCAAGTGGAGGGGTGTGCTGCCACTGCCTGACTGGGCAGGAAGTGCAGGTTGAGGAGGATCAGGGCGATGACGAGATTGATGTGGATGTTCATAGAAAGATCTTCTCTGAGTGTCCTGTTGGACAGAGAAGAAGGGATTTGTTGTAAATAACTTTCTATCGGTCATATCTTAACTTTATATTAAAATTTTACAAAAGAATGAAAAAAGATGACCTTTGCAAAACACAGATGGTGGGGAAAAAATTGACAAAAAAGGAAAAAAAAAATGGGAAGGAGCAAAAAAAGAAACACATTGGTGCACAAATGTGCCAGAAAATGGAAGTAAATATATAGTAAATAATAATAAATACAAGGTGGAATTTACTCATTTCAGATCCTGAAAAGGGAAAAAATAATTAGAGTTTGGAAAATACAACCAGAGAAGAATAAATTACCTGTTTGTGATGAAAAGTAAAACGGTGATGACCAGGGCAACAAGAGAAAAGCTACAGCCAATTATTGTAATGTATGATAGTATTTCCATGTCTTTTTTTGAAAGAACAGCATCCCCCCCAGACGAAGCAGAAACCTGTAGAGAAATACATATTCATGCTATCTTGTCACATTATTAGCAGGACGGATATATTTTAAGTTTTACTCATCCTGTATATACAAGATATACAAATCCTCAACTTTATGGTACATTTTTTTAAGATGACATTTAACAGTTTTTAATTCACCAGATGTTTACCTTTACTATCTCTAAATACTTTGCATGGAACTTTACAATTACTCTGTTTTTTCTGTCTTTGTTTTTTTGTGCCATTTCTGCCATCTAGTGGTAGAAGTATGCTGTGGAGGTTAATTACAGTCTTTTGCTTAACAAGAGAGGATTTGTGTATAATGGTGTATTTCTATTAGAGATGGCACGATACCACTTTTTCATGTCCGATACCAATATCATAAATTTGGATATCTGCCGATACCGATATGAATCCGATATAGTGTGTTTTTTAATCAATAAAAAATATTTTTTTAATATCTTGCTGCTTTTTGTATAAGTTCATACTCAAGTTAAAAAAAACACTAAAGCTATTCTGTTATACCTGTAAGCAAAAAATGCACTGCACCCAAAATATTTCATAGTTCAGCAATACTGATCAATCTAATAAACTTAATCCTACTCAATCCTCCCTATTCTGGTATTTTAAAGAATAAACAACCTAACTAATAGGGCTCTAACACTCCCAGCAAAAAAAAAAAAAGAAAAAATTGATGGGACAAAAGATCGGCCGGGCGTTTTGACTAGAGACCGGCCCACCATTATAGGAAAAACCATAAAGCCTTTGAATGAAAGCAAACACTGTTGTGACAGTGATGTACACTGTTTTCATGGTATATATGTATCAATCTATCAATCATTTGTTGTAATATTCAGATAATTATTTTTTAAAAGCGAGACATTTTAAATGAGAATAAGAAAGAAAGGTATTTCTTTGTGCCCCCCCCCCCGTTAATGCCCTACCTGGCCCCCCTGGCAAAACTCTGCTAGACCCGCCCCTGCACAGTTACCAGCTGTCAGCTACATAGAAAATGATCCTGGTGTTATTTGTCTCTCAGAAACAGTTCAAAACTTCCCTTCAACTCATTCTTGTCACCTATAAGGTAAGCCTGTTTCTCCCTCACCTGTTCAGCTCTGATGATTCAGTAAGGACATCTCCTGGTTTCATCTTGGATGATCTCATATCCTCGTGTTGGTGTTGTTCCCAGACCATCATGAAAATGTTGTTCCAGGTTCAACATTGCAAGTGACCAATCACATTGTTGTGACGTTATTCTTTTGCGCGCCAAGCCATTCGTGCATTTATGAAATTCCAATGTTGCAAGGACAATATCAATTCTGCTTACTGTTTATTAAAGGGTTATGGTTAGGGTTAGGGTCAGGGTCCGTTGATCGGCAGACAGAGGCGGTGTCTCGCAGCTACAGTTTTTTGTTTTACGCTGGTTTTTCCCGAAGTCGCAAAAGTATGACGTCACAACATTCTGATTGGTCACTTGCAATGTTGATCCTGGAACAACATTTAGTATGATGATCTGGGAACAACACCAACACGAGGATATGCTTTCATCTTCATGTTTCCCTCTCACCACATATCCAAACCGATATCATGACCAGCAGCTTTTACAGCTGTGGCTCCAACAAACATCAGCTGATACTAGAAATTAATATTAAATAAATTCTAACAAGAGCTGACCAAGCTTAAACATGCTGCTGTTGTTTAACGTGACATCCGGTGGTTTCCTCTTTCTGGCGCAAAGTGGATGATAAATAAACAAGAGAGAAAAGCCGATCAGCTGATCATTGATCAGTTTCATGATTGAACAGGAGAGGGAGGGAGAGAGAATGAGAGAAGAGGCAGCTGTGCAGCAAAGACACAGAATAAATTCAGCTTTGTGTCTTTTTCATTGTAGCTGAAGTCCAGGACAAACTGTGTTCCTTTTCAGCTCAGTAACATCATAGCATGCCGCCCAGCTGTATAGAAACTCCTCGTCCTAGTACTGAGGATGAAAAAGTCAGCATAATGAAAATAAACTACCCTTAAACTTGGTTTATATCTGACCCAGATAGACTACAGGTCATAACTTCTTACCTGAAGTTCAGCTCACCTGACACTCAGACCGGCGGCCGCCTTGGCTCTCTCTTCCTCCTGCGTCCCCTTTCCCTCATCCACCAGCTGGCTGCCACCTTGCTAATATTACTGAATCTGTGGAAGCTCCGCGATGCCACCACACGTAGTAACAAATAACGATCTAAATCCCAGTAACGATTAACACGTTCCTGATTTTGGCATAATAACTAGTTACTGTGCTTGTTACAACAATAATAACGTAGTTACTGTAATGCGTTACTTAATAACGCGTTAGTCCCAACACTGTTTATAAAGAACACAGGGCTGAATTTAGCAATAGATCTCAAATATGACACTACACATACTACATCCAGAAATGGATCTGCCACCTTTAGAGCAAATTGGATGGAAAATTTTATAGAAATCCAAGATGCAGATGGCAAATGAAGAGATGGATTAACTTCTTTGTGCAATTTTATGACTGTATTTTGTTGAAGAAAGGTTCCTTAGTTCTCAAGATATGGCATGACATTTTGTATACTGAAACACAAACAAACAAACAATCCTACCATGAGCACACCGAAGTATGTGAAATGGTTACAGGAACATGTGACATTACTCTGATCATGTGTCCAAATGGTGTGGCATCCATCTGTACTAAAATCTGAAGTCAAAGTCAAAGAGATGAATGAGATGCTGCCACATTTCAATTACATCAGCTCATTCAGAAATCTATAATGGTGAGTGAAACCAGAGAAATGTCATGCTTGGTTACTCACTGTTTGTTGAAAAATTTAAGAAATGACAGGAGGGTCTCTGGGTTTGCTAAGACAAAAAGAAACAAACAAACAAACAAACAAAATGTATGTTTATATCTGGTTAATATTATACATCTATATATTTCTACTTATGTTTACTGATAAAATCTACACTTCTACTTTTACATGTAACTAAATATTAACTAGATTAAATATTATTACTCTCTCTAAAATACTACATTTTTACAGTAATCTTTAATACATCAAAATACACAGTTATTTTGTGTTGTGTTAAATAACAATGATATAAAACTATTGAGAAAAATAGTGGAATAAACAATTAGATTGTAATTACAATTATATTCTGGTTAAATTTCATGGTGATGTTGACAGGTTGCCGAAGTCCCGATATGTTCTTGCCCTTCACACTCAGGATTATCATTCGTCTATCATAAACTTCAAATAAGGCTCCAGGATCACTCTACAATGCAAAACGTTGGTCAGTTGGTTTGACTGTTTCTCCAATACAATTTATGTAATATTTTCTCACTGTCCTGACTGTCTGAAAGGAAAAAAAGCAACCCAGTGAGACAGTTAATGCGTAGTGAAAGTCATTTACATCTTAGTAAAAACATTATTTCCTGATGTACCTGCCTGGTTATCTCTAAATCTGTATTATTTACATTTTTGATTTACATTTTGCAAACGGCAAACTACTTACAGAACACTGTGGTTGAGTACCCCTTCCTCTTTCTAAAACATTTTGGTCTGCATAATATATGAACATGGTGACCAACTTTTACTGTTCTGAACATTTTATCTTATTTTTTTAAGAATCAATCCGTGCACTTTTAGCTTTTTAACTCAATTAAATTCAATTTTATTTATATAGCGCCAAATCACAACAACATTCACCTCAAGGCGCTTTATATTGTACAGGAAGACAGGATGAAAGACATGCTTTAGAAAGGATGAAAGACATGCTGTAGAAGAGAGCCAGATATTAATAACAGGTATGATTCAATGCAGAGAGGTCTATTAACACATTGTGAGTGGGAAAAGTGACTGGAAAGGAAAAACTCAATGCATCATGGGAATCCCCCGGCAGCCTACATCTATTGCAGCACAACTAAGGGAGGATTCAGGGTCACCTGGTCCAGCCCTAACTATATGCTTTAGCAAAAAGGAAAGTTTGAAGCCTAGTCTTGAAAGTAGAGATAGTGTCTGTCTCCTGAATCCAAACTGGAAGCTGGTTCCACAGAAGAGGGGCCTGAAAACTGAAGGCTCTGCCTTCCATTCTACTTTTAAATACTCTAGGAACAAGTGCTATGGTACTACAAGGTCATTAAGATATGATGGGGCCTGATTATTTAAGACCTTGTATGTGAGGAGCAGGATTTTGAATTCAATTCTGGATTTAACAGGAAGTCAATGAAGGGAAGCCAAAACAGGAGAAATATGCTCTCTCTTTCTAGTCCCTGTCAGGACTCTTGCTGCAGCATTTTGGATTAACTGAAGGCTTTTTAGCAAGGTTTTGAGCATCCTGATAAAAATGAATTACAGTCGTCCAGCCTGGAAGTAATAAATGCATGAACTAGTTTTTCAGCGTCACTCTGAGACAGGATATTTCTAATTTTAGAGATGTTGCACAAATGGAAGAAAGCAGTCTTACATATTTGTTTAATATGTGTGTTGAAGGACATGTTGTGGTAGGAAAATGACTCCAAGGTTCCTCACAGTGTTACTGGAGGCCAATGTAATGCCATCCAGAGTAAGAATCTGGTTAGATACCATGTTTCTAAGCTTTTCAGGGCCGAGTACAATAACCTCAGTTTTATCTGAGTTAAGAAGCAGAAAGTTAGCGGCCATCCAGCTCTTTATGTCTTTAACACATTCCTGCAGTTGAACTAATTGGTGTGTGTTAACTTCCTTCATGGACAGATAGTGTTGGGTGTCATCAGCGTAGCAGTGAAAATTTATGCTATGTCTTCTAATGATACTGCCTAAGGGAAGCATGTATAATGTAAACAGAATTGGTCCTAGCACTGAACCCTGTGGAACTCCATAATTAACCTCAGTGTGTGAAGAGGACTCTCCATTTACATGTACAAACTGGAGTCTATTAGATAGATATGATAAAAACCACTGCAGCGCAGTACCTGTAATACCTACAGGCTTTTACCTGGCTTGAGTAAAGGTTTAACTACAGCCAGCTTGAAGGCCAGTGGTACATAGCCGATTATTAGAGATAGGTTGATCATATTTAAGATTGAAGCATTAATTAATGGCAGGACTTATTTGAGCAGTTTTGTAGGAATGGGGTCTAAAAGACACGTTGATGGTTTGGAGGAAGTAATTATTGAAGTTAACTCAGAAAGATCAATTGGAGAAAAAGACTCCAAATTAATATCAATGGTACTGAAAGTAGCTGTAGATAATATTACAGCTGTGGGATGATTATTGGTAATTTTTCATGAAGTCATTACTAGTTAACGTTAAAGGGATTGTTGGCTCAATAGAGCTCTGACTTTTTTGTCAGCCTGGCTTCAGTGCTGAAGAGAAACCTGGGGTTGTTCTTATTTTCTTCAATCAGTGACGAATAGTAAGATGTTCTGGCTTTGCGGAGGGCTTTCTTATAAAGCAGCAAACTATTTCTCCAGGCTACATGATGATCCTCTAAATTTGTGACACGCCATTTTCTCTCCAGCTTACGAGTTAGCTGCTTTAGGGTACGCGTTTGAGAATTATACCACGGAGTCAGGTACCTCTGATTTGAGGCCTTAGTTTTCACATGGAGCTACACTATCCAGAGTCGTGAGGAGGTAAAATTATTAACAAGATAATTAACCAATTATTCATGTAAAAAAAATGCAGTGGAACCCCGATTTACGAATACCCCATTTAACAAAAAATTCAATTTACGAAGGCACTGAACAGCAATATTTCTGCCCGTGGTACGGCAAAATGCCCTTGTAACGAAATCCACTGGCTCTGATTGGCTGAGCCTACAATGCCCACAATGCCTTCCGAATCATGTGACATCCCCTTAGCTTTCGTAATTGCACTTCGCTGTTCCACTTGAGCGACATATTGTTGTTCTAGTTAGCTTTTAGCCTATAGCCTATCGTTCAGCATCGCCTCACTCAAAAGGCGCGATATATATATATATATATATATGCGTGTGTATATATATATATATATATATATATATATATATATATATATATATATGCGTGTGTATATATATATATATATATATATATATATATATATATATATACACACGCATATATATATATACACACGCATATATATATATATATATATATATATATATATATATATATATATATATATATATATATGCATGTGTATATATATATATATGTACACTGAACAAAAATATAAACGCAACACTTTTGTTTTTGCTCCCATTCCCCATGGGATGGACGTAGAGACCTAAAATTCATTCCAGATACACAATATAACCATCCCTCCCAAACAGTGGTCACAAATCAGTCCAAATGTGTGGTAGTGGGCACATCTGCTATATTGAGATAATCCATCCCACCTCACAGGTGTGCCACATCAGGATGCTGATCTGACATCATGAGTAGTGCACAGGTGTACCTCAGACTGCCCACAACAAAAGGCCACCCTGGAATGTGCAGTTTTTTGCGCTATTGGGGGTCTGGGGACCCAGAACCGGTCAGTATCTGGTGTGACCACCATTTGCCTCATGCAGTGCAACACATCGTCGCATGGAGTCTATCAGATTGTCAATTGTGGCCTGTGGAATGTTGGTCCACTCCACTTCAATGGCTGTGCGAGGTTGTTGGATATTCGTGGGAACTGGTACACGCTGTCGTATATGCCGGTCAAGCACATCCCGAACATGCTCAATGGGTGACATGTCCGGTGAGTATGCTGGCCATGCAAGAACTGGGACATTCTCAGCTGCCATCTGCCCTGAACAATGTGAACCATGATTCATCCGTGAAGCGCACACCTCTCCAACGTGCCAGACGCCATCGAATGTGAGCATTTGCCCACACAAGTCTGTTACGGCGACGAGCTGGAGTCAGGTCAAGACCCCGATGAGGACGACGGGCATGCAGTTGAGCGTCCCTCAGACGGTTTCTGACAGTTTGTGCAGAAATTGTTTGGTTGTGCAAACCAATTGTTCCAGCAGCTGTCTGGGTGGCTGGTCTCAGACGATCTTGGAGGTGAACCTGCTGGATGTGGAGGTCCTGGGCTGGTGTGGTTACACGAGGTCTGCGGTTGTGAGGCCGGTTGGATGTGCTGCCATATTCTCTGAAACGCCTGTGGAGACGGCTTATGGTTGAGAAATGAACATTCAATGCACGGATCTGGTTGACATTCCTGCTGTCAGCATGCCAATTGCACGCTCCCTCATTGCTTGTGGCATCTGTGGCATTTTGCTGTGAGACAAAACTGCACATTCCTGGGTGGCCTTTTGTTGTGGGCAGTCTGAGGTACACCTGTGCACTACTCATGATGTCAGATCAGCATCCTGATGTGGCACACCTGTGAGGTGGGATGGATTATCTCAATATAGCAGATGTGCCCACTACCACACATTTGGACTGATTTGTGACCACTGTTTGGGAGGGATGGTTATATTGTGTATCTGGATTGAATTTTAGGTCTCTACGTCCATCCCATGGGGAATGGGAGCAAAAACAAAAGTGTTGCGTTTATATTTTTGTTCAGTGTATATGTGTGTGTGTGTGTGTGTGTGTGTTTCACCTCTCATTCGAGAACCTAGTAGTGTAGTTTCTGACCTTGTTTGTTTCAGGGAGCTTAAGGTTGGAGAACACAATCATGTTCGTTGGTCCAAGGTTCAGTTCTTCCGGGAGTTCAACACTGACTGTCGTATTGGAGACATTCTTCAAGCCTGCCTATTATATTGTAACAAACAGAAAGAGAAGCTTTATGTCTGTTTTAGATATTTTTAAAAAATATTTGTGACAAATACAAGGAAATAATATTACTTGTTTGTGGTGAAAAGCTGAATGCTAAGGCATAGCTGTACATAATTTAGAGCTATTTTATTTAGATGTTGCTGAGATATTTCTGCATAGACCATAGTGGTGATGTTGATATTATTGGAAATCTGGAAGTAAGTAAAAAAGCCAATGAGATTTTGACTTTTTCTTACTTGGCTGTCACTGGCATGAAGTGTAACGCTTTTGAAGGGAGCAGTCGGTATAAACAGGAGAGCCACAATATTTCCAAATGATATCGATATAGTCGCATTTATATTTATGTTCTCAAGAGTCTTTTCTATGTTCTCCAAGTCCCTTGTGGAAAAAGACAAAAAAAAAAAGATCATGTGCCATTTTGATTTATACTCTTTCATTAATTCCATAACATAGAGTAACTTCGCTTTAAATCAGAATTTAATCACATTTCTATGCCGCTTTTTTCAAATTACTTATGAATTAATAAGAAAAGAAATCTTTTCTGTGAAAAGACTGAAAATATTTACTTGATAGTGTTTGCATAGCCTCCAGTTCCTGAAAGGTTGACTTTATAGTTCATACATTTCTCAGCATCAGGGCTCGCTGTAGAGTAGAATGAAATAAAAATATTAAGACCCCTTTTAACAAGTTAAGAACCACACAAGTCCCCAGAATATTCCAAAGTTCAGCTCAAAGGGCTACTTACAAGCATTTTGTTTTACACTTTTTAACATTTCACATGCATTCATACTCCGTGGAACAACTTGGGTTTTAGTATCATTCCCAATAATACTTGGGCTTGCAGATCGAGTGTCTGCACCCAACACTCACTGTGCTGGCATACCTGTCAGCGGAACCAGACACATCACTAACTCCAGCTGCTAGAGCTGGCAAAATCAATCTTGCAAAGACTCCAATAAAGCCCACTGGATAGCTTTGGAAAATGTTAAGTAGAAGAGAAATTTCAGACATTTAATTGTATTTTCATAATTTTTACATCTTTTTCTACTGATTAGGATGCCCCCCATAGCCATTAATGCTACACTAAAGTAAATAACTTATCGAGTTAAATTTCACTGGTTTTCACTGGTCCAGCCCACATAAGATCAAAGCAGCTCTTTTGCGCTGGCTGTATATTTGAGCCCTGGAGATGTGCTCTTTTAGTATCTGTAGCTTTTAATGCAAGTGAGTTGCAGCAACCCACTTACTTTAAGAAGGGCAGTCTTACTTAGACATGAACAATAAAGTCTGTTAAATTTCTCGATAAATTATCACAGGTGAGAAATATCTGATTTTGCTAAAGCAGCTCCAAGGATGAGGGTCTGCTATGCATTGAGTATAGTTGAGGGTGGGGAGTCTTGCAACGTTATGGAACATATGAGTTCTGTAGACTATTTTGATGTCTTTACAGTATTTATAGCACCTTGATCTGTTAACATTTTTAACAAGCATAAAATTTCTACCCTGTGGGAAATCTTTCATTGTTCATATTCAAAACCAACCCCATATAAACGGGTAATAAACACGCTGGTCAATAGTGTGGATGGCCTACTTTGTTTATCATAAGCAAGAAATAGACAGTCCTGCTTAAGTACTAGCAGGGGGAGATACTATATTTAAAGGCATCAAGTCACTAGTGAACAAGAAAGGCATGAGGCTCATTCCTTGCTCCTTCTATACCAGAAATATTTACACTGGATGGCTAAAAGAGACATGTTAGCAATGTTAGCAATGTCTATTTTTGCCATAACTATTTTCATGTTGACTTGAAATAGAATATCACCCTGTTAAACGTGTATCCATTTCATGCTTAGCAGAAGCAAAACATGACATCCGACGGTGGACCAGTGCGGCTATTACATGTTTTGCTGTGATATAAACAAAGTTAAAAATGTATATTATCTCACTTACCTTTTACAGAAATGTTTGTAAAGTTCTGAGAGGAAACGTCAAGATACACAAAAAACACCAGACAAAATAAGATCAACCACTTCATCCTGTAGGGTTAAGAAGATTTATTTAGATTAAAAAATAAACAAGCAAACAAAACCTCTCTGCTTTACATTCAAATTATATACGTCTCTAAAACAATTCATGAGACATAATAATGAAATGGGTTAAGTTATTTACATTAACATTATTCGTGCATGTGTGTATATGTGTGTATCATTAAAAAAGCATAGCCTACCTTTCGTCTGTTGCTGAGTTGCTGTACAAATGATTTCATCTGAAAAGAATACAGGAAGCCACAACAGCAAAAAAAACAAATGAGTAAGCATATTCAGCTGTAATGTTTGCGTTTACAGCTTATTTTGAGGTTGGCATGACAATATGTAAATGACACTGTCAAAAAGAAAGAGGCAGTGTCAACTGACAAAAGGCTACAGTATCTGAATTTACATTCTTCTGTGCCACTAAGTCTGTAGTAAAAATATGTGGACATTAAAAGTGTTAAACTAAATACAGGAAAATGCACATATATTCTGTCCATATATTCAGCACAAAGTTATGGTTTTCGAAGTCCCCCACCTAAAATGATGACAGAGGTCAGTAATTTGCACCAGAGGTACACTTCAACTGTGAGAGACAGAATGTGAAAAAAATATCCATGAATCCACATGGTAGGATTTGTAAAGAATTTATTCGTAAATCAGGGTGGAAAATAAGTATTTGGTCAATAACAAAAATACAACTCAATACTTTGTAACATAACCTTTGTTGGCAATAACAGAGGTCAAACGTTTACTATAGGTCTTTACCAGGTTTGCACACACAGTAGCTGGTATTTTGGCCCATTCCTCCATGCAGATCTGGGGCGATCGTGGCTCAAGAGTTGGGAGTTCACCTTGTAATCGGAAGGTTGCCGGTTCGAGCCCCGGCTTGGACAGTCTCAGTCGTTGTGTCCTTGGGCAAGACACTTCACCCGTTGCCTACTGGTGGTGGTCAGAGGGCCCGGTGGCGCCAGTGTCCGGCAGCCTCGCCTCTGTCAGTGCGCCCCAGGGTGGCTGTGGCTACAATGTAGCTTGCCGTCACCAGTGTGTGAATGTGTGCATGAATGGGTGGATGACTGGATATGTAAAGCGCTTTGGGGTCCTTAGGGACTAGTAAAGTGCTATATAAATACAGGCCATTTACCATTTACCATCTTCTGGAGAGCAGTGATGTTTTGGGGCTGTCGCCGAGCAACACGGACTTTCAACTCCCGCCACAGATTTTCTATGGGGTTGAGGTCTGGAGACTGGCTAGGCCACTCCAGGACTTTCAAATGCTTCTTACGGAGCCACTCCTTTGTTGCCCGGGCGGTGTGTTTTGGATCATTGTCATGTTGGAAGACCCAGCCTCGTTTCATCTTCAAAGTTCTCACTGATGGAAGGAGGTTTTGGCTCAAAATCTCACGATACATGGCCCCATTCATTCTGTCCTTAACACGGATCAGTCGTCCTGTCCCCTTGGCAGAAAAACAGCCCCATAGCATGATGTTTCCACCCCCATGCTTCACAGTAGGTATGGTGTTCTTGGGATGCAACTCAGTATTCTTCTTCCTGCAAACACGACGAGTTGAGTTTATACCAAAAAGTTCTACTTTGGTTTCATCTGACCACATGACATTCTCCCAATCCTCTGCTGTATCATCCATGTGCTCTCTGGCAAACTTCAGACGGGCCTGGACATGCACTGGCTTCAGCAGCGGAACACGTCTGGCACTGCGGGATTTGATTCCCTGCCGTTGTAGTGTGTTACTGATGGTGACCTTTGTTACTTTGGTCCCAGCTCTCTGCAGGTCATTCACCAGGTCCCCCCGTGTGGTTCTGGGATCTTTGCTCACCGTTCTCATGATCATTTTGACCCCACGGGATGAGATCTTCACAGACTTGGATCCAAAACATCTGATTGTCTGTTTTGGTCTCCAATCAGCTTGAAATGACGAAAAGCAATATCCCAGAATGCATTTCATCCAAAACTCAAACGAGGCAGTGGCGGAGGAACACAGATTGGTGGGGTTTGAAATATTACTCTTTCTGGATCACAAAACTTTTAAGTTATTTTCATGCGAGAATGGTGCTGTGTAAACTTCAAATATCTGCTTGATTTATCATATCACATATTTGTAAAAGCGCTCTAACATTTTTGGAGATGCCTGTTACCCACTAGCTTACCGGGTGGTCAAGGCGCAGCTCCCAGCACATTGTTTTCAAACCCCCCATGGTCTTCCACTACTCGAGTTAAACATATAATATATAAGTCACTTAGATCAGCGGTCCCCAACCTTTTTTGCGTCACGGAATGTCAGACAATATTTTCAAGGACCAGCCTTAACATTTCACAGATAAATACAACAAAATAAAATGATACGACCAAAACAAAAACTGTGGTATTGTGTAAATATAATAATCAATACAAATTCACTGTGTAAATGTGTAACTTTATTAGCAGTGTCCTTCTGAAATGTGCCAACAACTTTGAGAGTGACATCCTCCTCTCTGCCCCTTAATGCTCTTTGGTCGATATGGTAACGCAAAAATATTTATTTCAAAATAAGACACACAACACAAAACAAATGTAAAGTAAATGAAAATATATAATTCACCATACGCTAAATCAATGAGAGCCCTGTGCTTGTTTCTCTGCAACAAATGTAATGATGGATAATGGGGGACAATCACACCCAAAGTGTGCTGTAATATCCCCTGATGTAAAATGTTCTGTTCTTATTTAAACAGCTGACTCTGAATTAAGTCGAACATAAAAAATATTTAAATTGAGGAGGAAAACTTTTCACAATATGACGGGTGAAATTCAAAACAGACTTACAGTTCTCCAAGACTTCAGATTTAAATTAAACGGTCCAGGTATAAACAAAACATTACCATTTAGAAGTTATCTAAGTGACTTATATATTGTGTTTAACCCAAGTAGTGAAAGAAACGAAAAGGGTTTTTAAAACAAAGTGCCGGGAGTCCGCGCCTTCACCACCCAATCAGCCAGGGCTGGACTGGGACAAAAAATCAGCCAACTACACCACCAGGTATTACAGGAAAAACCTTAAAGCCTTTGAACTGAAACAAACGCTGTTGTGACAGTTATGTACACTGTCTTGTTGGTACTATATGTATGATGTATCACCTTCATGTTTCCCTCTCACCAGATATCCAAACCGATATCGTGGCCAGCAGCTTTTACAGCTGTGGCTCCAGCAAACATCAGCTGATACTAGAAAGTCATTTTAAATATATTCTAACAACAGCTGATCAAGCTTAAACATCCGCTGGTTTCCTCTTTCTGGCGCAAAGAGAGACGGGACTTTCAGCAGAAAAGCCGATCAGCTGATCATTGATCAGTTTCATGATTGAAGTAGCAACAGGAGAGGGAGGGGAGAGAATGAGAGAAGAGGCAGCTGTGCAGCAAAGACACAGAATAACTCCAGTTTTGTGTCCTTTTTTCATTCTAGCTGAAGTACGGGACAAATTGCTTCCTTTTCACCTCAATGCAGATGTATTGTAATTGGTCCAGCTCAGAGTTGATCATGACCAATTGGCTAATCCACCACCTTTCATTGTATAAACTGTTACAAAAACAAACAAACAAACAAACAAACATAAAAA